AATAGATGGTGAACATTTAACATGCTTAATGGACTTTAATTCGAAGTCACCACACTGTAAAATATGCTCTCCAAAACTGCACAGTTAAAGCAGACACCTCTGTGACTGGAAACTGTAGTCACACGTTCCCTGTGTGTGTGTGTGTGTGTGTGTGTGTGTGTGTGTGTGTGTGTGTGTGTGTGTGTGTGTGTGTGTGTGTGTGTGTGTGTGTGTGTGTGTGTGTGTGTGTGGTAGGTAGGTATGATTTTGAAGCAGATATGTCACACATTAGCAAGGAGTCATCCATTACCTGTTACTCAAATATTAACTTACAGAGGGAAACAGGAAGATAGAAAAATGGGGGAGGGATAGATGAGGGACAGTGATAGGAGTAGGAGTTATTTTTAAGATACTTCAAACATTGTTGTTCAATTTCATTTTCACATGAAGCCTGTCTGACAGCATAGTTACCTTGGCCGAGGAAGTAATGTTATTATAAAAATAAACCGAGTGGTGCGGTGATGACATATTTTTGTAGGCTGACCCAGAAATCAAAATGAACATCCCAGCATTTTTTTTCTTACACTGCTTAGTTGAATACTATTCTGATAGGTCAATTTGGACATTGGCTATTTGTCGCTATCAGACAAGGGACTATGTGCAGTCATATCAATCCGCAGAAAGAAGTCCGGTCAAGTCAGCTGTGAAGAAACATTAGTCTGCACTTTTTTAATATGTATTCTTATATTTGTGGAGAGCACAACAGCAGAAGAAGACGGACAGGAAGTTAACAATAATGGGACACGGTATGGCAGTGTTTAAAGACTGGTTAATGTCAAATAAAATGTGAACAGACTTGGACAGTTATAGAAATGCTCGATTACGTTGCTGTCGCTGCAGTTCCAGCCGTTGGTACGATGTTGAACACACTTTTATATTCGGAAGCAATACTATCATTTAATATCGATAATGTGAGTCAAGTCGTTGGTCCTGCTCACCCTGACGATGTTCTTGTTTCATTCATACATTATCCCTTCCTAATGTAACCTACCCCTCCCTCTTTTTACTCCAGGACTCTGCTGAAGAAACGCTGCCTCCTCCAGAAAATCCCTCATCTCCATGGTAACGGGCCTCGGGCAGACCCAGAAAAACATCGGGCCAAACTCGTCCGTTCCTCTCCAGCCTACCTGAATCTGGACCATACTGAAGACGATATAAAAAAAAAGAAGATCATTCTTGAAGTATTAATGATGACCTATCACTTCTTGGAGTTATTTTACAATTTGAGTACAGTCACCGAAGCCAGAATACCTACAATTGTGAAAAATGTAATATTTTAGACTCTATACGTTACGTAAAATGCAGAGGAGTTTGTATACTCTCTAAATGTTAGCCTGGAGGAACGTTTAAAATATTGCTGTCCTTGAGCAATATGTCAGGGATGTATCCATGCACCATTAAGGGCTCTTAAACTGGACACCAGTCCCAAACTGGTCTGAAAGGAGTCCCCAAAACCGGACCAGGATGCACCAGCTGTTCAGCCGGGTGCTGGGGCAGCGGGATCTGTCCAGGGCGGGGGATCTATTTTCTCTGCAGGACTCAGAGATCGAGGCCTGTCTGTCTCAGGCTCTGGACCAGATCAAGGCCATCTCCTGCTCACAGGTCAGAAACCAACACATAGACAGGAAGTAACCAAGATATTTAGGATCATAAATGTGTCCTCTGCTCAGAGATTTTATTCATAGGAAATCATGCCTTTCATTCAGGATATTCAGGCAGTGGCCTATACACCAAGAATGAAACACATGAGCACATAATACAGTTTAAAAAAGCGGAAATACAAAATTTGAGCTGTTTAATACACACAGTTAAACTCACACACACAATGTTATGAACACACAGGTACACCTACTGAAATAAAAACAGAACAAATGAACCAAAGAAAGTGAAACATGAAGCAGATTCAGGCAGTAGGCGTATAGATTCACACTTAAAGTATTAGCCTACAGAACAGTACAATTTACAAAGAAGAAATTAAATGTTATCCTTTTACAACAAACACAATATGCCCTTTCAATTTTGTTTTACTATCATTGTTATCATGCTAGTAATCCACAAGTTTTAGAAATGTAACACTAATCTGATGTGTTTTATGTACCGGTAACTGTAAGGGGATACAGTCACCTAATCCCGTTACATGTAAACTGTCTCTATCCAGGATGAATTTATCTAAGATATCAAAGGGCATGTTCTAATTTAATTAATTATTCATGCTCTTATCCATAATTCATATTTTTGTCCTTCATTCATCACTGTATCCTTAATTCATTGTGCCCTCTCACCGTCTGCCGGCTCACAGGACTATCTGACCAATGACAACGACCAGGCGGTGGTGGAGATCTGCATCACGCGCATCACCACGGCGATACGTGAGACGGGCTCCATCGAGCGGCACAGCGAGGCGCTGGTGGGGCTGTGGGAGTCGTGTCTGGAGCACAACCTCACCCCGCAGGGAGAAAACACAGAGGACACCCCACACGCCAAGATAGCCTCTGACATCACCAGCTGTATCCTGCAGGTACTCACACACACACACACACACACACACACACACACACACACACACACACACACACACACACACACACACACACACACACACACACACACACACGCGCA